GGGAAAAATTGGGCCGAGCTGAGAGTTGGGCATCGAGGCCCAAAATGCGGAGGACTAAGTAAGAAGGCCGCAATAGTTACTTCGGCCCAAGGAGTTGAAGTTACTCCGGCTCAAGAAGAGATCGTTACTTCGGCCCAAGGAAGAGTAAAATTACTCCGGTCTGGAGGCAACTCACAGTTAGGCCGGTCTCATAGTTAGTCCGGTCGCAGTATGTTCTGGGAAGACTGGTGTCGGAATTAGTCCGGTTGTGACTTACAATGGTTAGGTCGGTCAGGACTTGTTACTTGGAGGTTTGAACTAAGCACATCAAGGTTGAACAGGGCAGCCGAAGTAAAGAGTTGGAGGAGAAGACCGAGCTAAGGATAGTTCGGCCTTCTGTGGCTCGGTATAGCCAATTTTACTTCGGTCAAATGGAAGTTCGGCCATAAAGAAAACCATCCCACTTGGTTTAAGCAGTGGGGGAGGGTGTAAAAGGATAAGCATTATCCTTAGGAGAATGAATCCTAGGAGGACTCTGCATGGAGAAAGTAAAGAGGACTACAAAGGATGCCATATGAAACTTATAAAAGCTCACAAGCAACACCTTAGATTCATATAGAATAAGCCCACTAGTTCAAAGCTTCATATGTTGTTCTTGTTTGAAAGTACAAAAGCAGAGCAGATAAATGGAGAAAATGTTTGCAAAAAGCATACGAAAACTAGATATACAGTTGCACAAAACGAATGTAAAAGCAAAAACATGAAGGGAAAATGGATTTGCTTACCAGAATTAAATAAGGAAGGACTGAAGATGAAGACTGTCGCAGTAAAGAAAGAGCACGAGCAGCAAGAACACAGAGAGAGAAGATGGAGAAATGGCAAAAGTGAGGGGACCCTAGCCTCAGGGATTGATTTTGTTAGAAAGCCCAAAATTTGGGCGGGACTGTTCAAATTTCACGAAGTACGAAAGACGGCGTGACAGCCGTCCTTAGCCAACCAAAACATGCCACGTGTCATAAGAATGGGAAGCGTTACAGACATTATGATTGAAGAGACGTTTTTGACCGGACAAAACATGGCCAGGAGTAAAATTAGCTCGGCTTAAAACTCGAGAGTTTTTAGCTCGGCCGGAGAGGCTAAAGTATTTTTTAGCTCGGCTGGAGAAGCTTAAAACGACACTAGCTCGGCCAGTGGACTGGTAATCCCAATCATGCTATGCAGATGGAATTAAGGGGCAATTGAGAGGGTAATTTTTGGAAAAAATTGGGCCGAGCTGAGAGTTGGGCATCGAGGCCCAAAACGCGGAGGACTAAGTAAGAAGGCCGCAATAGTTACTTCGGCCCAAGGAGGTGAAGTTACTCCGGCTCAAGAAGAGATCGTTACTTCGGCCCAAGGAAGAGTAAAATTACTCCGGTCTGGAGGCAACTCACAGTTAGGCCGGTCTCATAGTTAGTCCGGTCGCAGTATGTTCTGGGAAGGCCGGTGTCGGAATTAGTCTGGTTGTGACTTACAATGGTTAGGTCGGTCAGGACTTGTTACTTGGAGGTTTGAACTAAGCACATCAAGGTTGAACAGGGCAGCCGAAGTAAAGAGTTGGAGGAGAAGACCGAGCTAAGGATAGTTCGGCCTTCTGTGGCTCGGTATAGCCAATTTTACTTCGGTCAAAAGGAAGTCCGGCCATAAAGAAAACCATCCCACTTGGTTTAAGCAGTGGGGGAGGGTGTAAAAGAATAAGCATTATCCTTAGGAGATTGAATCCTAGGAGGACTCTGTATGGAGAAATACAAGTCCTACTAGGATTGTGTCATATGAAACTTATAAAAGCTCACAAGCAACACCTTGGAGGAGGTAATTGAACACAATCTTTCTGAGAACTTAGAGCTTTGTCTATTTGTCAAGTTTTCTGACTTAGGCATCGGAGAGGTTTCCGGCACACACCCGCCGGCTAGCTCACGTTTGTGTTTTCAGGTGACAAAGCGACGTCGTACGGAGGAGCGTGGACTTGGTCAACAGGATTATACGAGGAGAATTATTTCCTCCCCGTACAATATATATATATATATTAATTTGTATTTCATGAAGAACATGCTTCCTATTTAGGGGTTAAAGAAGTAAAATATTTTAAATTGTCTTTTACACACCAACATATTTTGTCTAGGGGGATTTTGGCCAAATTTTCCTTAATAATAATATGTACTGGGTTTTTTAAGAATTTTTTTTATATTTATCCTTAATGCATTAAAATTTTATTATAAAAAGATTTTGACGAAATTCTTTTTTCATTTTTAGGAAATTACACTGACATAGTGTCAATAAAAAAATATTTACAAAAAAATAAAAATTATTACAAATATTAATAATTAATATCATAAACTTTTCCATTAATATGCAATAACTTTTTAAAACTTATTCTCAATAATAATTTTTCTTTTTCTTTTTTATAGTCAAGGGATAAAGTGGTGTGAATCTCGAGATTCGTGTCAGATGTTCAATTTGACAATTTTGAGAGTTTGTATTTTTACAGGTCACCAGGAATATTCACTATTCACAGTTTCAATTTTCAAAAAATATTTTTTAAAAATTTTATTTTCTTATTTTTTTTGTTTTTTTGTTTTTACTGATTTTTTTAAATATTTTAAGTAATTTTTTTAATTTTTAGGCATTGATTTTTTTAATATTTTAAACAAATTTTTTAATTTTTAGGCATACCTAACCTAAATGTATCTAAAAAAATAAAAAATTTGTGAAGAAAACCTTTTAAAAATTCACTAAATACTCAAAATATAAAAAAATACGAGAATTCAGTACATTTTTTATATTTTTATATATTTATTAATTTTTTCACAAATTTTTTACTTTTTAGATACATCTAAGTAAGGTGCATCTAAAAAGTAAAAAAAATATTTAAAATTTAAAAAATATTTACTAAAAACAAAAAAATACGAAAATTAAAAAATTTAATTTTTAAAAAATTTAATTCAAAAAACTTAAACCAAACACACTAATTGATTTTTTTTGAAACTTGTGTTATTATTGATCAAAAGATGACATAGGAGTGTTTTGAGAATTTTCTAGGAAAGTTAATTTTTTAGTTTTTTAATTTTTTTATACCAAAAAAATGAACTTTTTTAATAAAAAAAAATTAAAAAGTCATAAAAATATTAAAAAATTAATTTTTTATTAACTTTTCACCGCATAATAAAAGATTGGATTGTTTTCATGAGTACGTTAATTAACAAATATGAGATTCCTTTTACATGTGTAGGTATATTTCTTTAATAATTAAGGGTTGGAATCAACTTAGGTGATAATGGATTAATGTCCTAGACCCCAGCAAGTTATCATCACTTTAGGCTGTCTTGTATAGAACCCCGGTCTTATATAATTAAGCTAACTAGCATCATGCACGTGGCCTGTAACAATGTTCATATACACCATATAATTATTGCTTTGATTAAAATAAAAAGGCATCAATGACACACCGCACAAATACATATATTTTTTAATTTTTTTATAAAAATAATAAATCATTTTCACAATAAATAAAATATTTCAATAAAATAATATGAGAAACTATAAAACAAAAATAAATCTAATTATTCGGTAGAAGGATCTTAATAACAAGAAGTCATTAAAATGATCTTGTGATATATAGGAGTGCTTTGAGAAGGTAGTTAAAAGTTATTTTTTGATTTTTCTTGATTTTTTTGTGAGAAAAAAAAAGTGAGTTAAAAGTTGAGAAGTGATTTTTAAACCACTTCTCAAAATAAGTCATAAACATGTGATTTTTTTTGAAGATATATATTGATAGAGAAGTTTGTGTTGAGATAGTAAAAATAGTAAGAGCTGTTTGGTGATTTGTTGGTGGTACAAGGGCATACAATAAATAATTTTCAATGAATAACACTTAAAAAAAATTAATAAGGATAAATATTCACCTCCCTTAAAATTTTAAAAAAATAATTTATTTATATTTTTTTAAATAATTACACTAGTCTCTCTTAAGTGTTTTTTTATTAGTAATTAATTAGTTATATCAATAAAAAAAAGGGGGATGCACCAATAAATCCCAAATTAATAACTTATGCATTGTTTAGTCCTAAAAGTTTTCTTATAGACTGAAAGGTCCCATTACAATGTTAATAACAAAAAAGTGAGTGGAATATTTGTGAAAGAAAATTATGTTTTATTTATATTTTACTAAATTTTTTTATTTTTTTTAAAATTGCCATCTAAATTTATGATTATAAAATGCATGTTTATATATCTACCCACAATTTTTATTAATTTTCACCCATTTAACATAATTAAAAAGAAGAATAGTAATATAATTATATCAAAAAAAATTTATTTTAGAAATGATTAGAAATTTGAAGAAAATGAGTGTAATTTACTCAAGTAATCATGTTGATGAATTAGTGGGTCCCACTGAAATGCACCCATTGATGGATCCCATCCCCTGACCAACACCAACAGAATCTCCAAACTAACCTTCTCTCCTTCCTTGGTATGAGCAACTGTCACTGTAATGGATATATGTGCTGCTTTATGCAGGACAAAATTTAAGATTCCATTATCGAAGGAGTTAAAACATAAATAAATTTTTTCACCTATATATATATATATATAATATGACATATAAATTATGTATATATATATATATAAATATTATAAAAATAATTTTTAATAGAATAAAGTTTTTTTTAGTGTAAAATAAAAAGAGAACACAAGATAAGAGAAAAATAGATAATTATTTAATAATTTTAGAATATAGACAAGTAATATTTTATAACATCATGGTTAATGAAGAAGGTAGGTAGGTGAACTATTGCGTTGAGTGATTAAAAACATATGAAGATATTAAATGATAATTAATAAAGAAATGCAAACATATGATATTTTTAAAATATTAAATAATTATTTTTTAAAAAATGAGTTATTTTAAATAAGATATATTTTTAAAAAATGAGTTATTTTAAATAAGATATATTTTTAAAATGTTATGAGAAATCATAATTCTTTAACAAAAACAGGAGCATGACCCCCATTGTCTCCCAGCACAGTCTCCTGGTAGCATACTCTCTCACTCACATCTATATTTAAGCACACATACAAATCAACATATGGACTTGGGGTTCTTTTGGATTAAATTTTTCTCCAACTAAAACCCTCAGGTAATCTTCTGTTTCTTTTTCTTTTTGTACAGTTATCCACATTGTTGAATTTCTTTAATGGACCTCTGTTTGGCTGCCGAGAAAGCTGAAGGAAAAGGCTTGGCTGAATTGTGTTCTTCCACTTTCTCGGGAGCCAAATAAGGAAGAATACAAAGATTAACAGTTTCTGTTCTTTTTTCCTGGTAGTTTCTCTGTAAACAAACGCAGAACGACACGGCACTAGAAGGAATTTTCACTTGTTCTTCGATAATTCGCGGATACTGCGTCTGGATCTTTCGTTAATAGCCCCAAAATATAGTTGGATCAAATATGACAGTAACTAAGCTTGCTGGTGCACTTGCTTGTGGAATTGCTGGTAAAAGATGTGAGAGGAAAGCAATTAGACAAGCTTTTGAGGACAACAACTCTACTCGAGATCTTCGTTTTCGTTATCCCGGGGCGATTTATGGAAAGGGATTGAGATCAAACAAAGTGGTTCGGAATTGTGGATTAGTCAGTGGTGAACAGGCTTTAGATTATGAATTGGTTCCTTCTACTGTAGAGGAAATATTAGATTCCACCACACACAGACTCATTAATGGCTCAACTGAGGGATTCATGTAAGACTCATGATTCTTCCACCATCAATTCCCTGTTGTTTTAAATCATTTTTGCATATTTTTATCACCCAATTCACATAATTGAAATATTCTTTCATGGTCTTTCAGATACTTCTCTTTTCATTTTGTGAATTGTGATTCTTGCAGTTAGTTTCTTTTTTGTACTTTGTATGGTTGTTGAAAGCTCTGAATTGTTTCTTAGCGCGCATACGGGGACCTCAGCAAGTCAATCACGGTCTCCAAGTGTCCAGACTGAGCTTATAATGCTATCTATACCAGCAATTGCTGGGCAAGCCATTGAGCCCTTGGCACTACTCATGGAGACAGCTTATATTGGCAGAATGGGTAAGTTTTCCCCTCTTCACTGTTTTATTCTTTGCATCTGTATTCTTTCCCACTTTATGGGGACCAGGAGAGTCTTTTTCTTTGTTTTAACTGCTAATAATCTTGTTTGTAGATTTATAAGAGGACTTGTGCTTGAGACAAATTCGATATGGTGCATATCAATCTGCCCTGACAATAATACTGTTAGTAGGCGTTGGTATTCTATATTGGTTTCTCCATCTGGAAATTTGGTTGGTTTGTGTAAGAATATTTTTGTTTCAATTTGTCTATGTTACCATTAATGAAAAAGTTGGGTTACATAATTGAGGAAGTTCTGCTTTTTATTGTTTCTTAGGCTATATTTGGATCGTGGATTTGGATAAAGATTTGGAAAGTGAAAAAGAAAAGATAGGTGAAATGGGAACAAAATATATAGCTACATTTCACCTACCTTTTCACTTCCCCTTTTCCAAATTCCAATCCAAATCCATGATCCAAACACAACATTAGTGTCCCATGCATATATATAAATTGGTAAATCTATGATTAATCCTAGTCTTCATGTTACAATTATGGTCTTCACCTTCATCAGCATATAAAAGTTTGGCATGTTCTGTGGCCGTTTAAGTACCTCAGTTCACAGAAGGCACATCCAATGTGAGAAAGCATTTTATACACTTCAGTGACTACTGCATAGAATCTACTTGACTTGTCCAGGTCTACCGAGGGTTATGTTTATTTTGTGTGATTCTTCTAGCGAGAGACATCAAATTTGACACACTTTTGGTGACTTTGCCAAAATAGATTTATCTTATTTGAACTTGATAAAAGGAAAACTCTCTCTCTCTGATGCATTTCTTTACTGGAAACAAATTTTTTTTTTTTTAAATTTTCTATTTTTCTGTTTTTTGTTTTAGGGTGGTGGCCATGATTCTTCTATTTGTGCCATACCATAAGTTAGTTTTTTTTTCTTCATTTATCTTATACTTTAACTGATCTCATATAATTATAAGATGATACTCTCAATGAGGAAAGAATCAATCATTTATGTAAAGACCTAGTTTTAGATTCTTCTAGGTGAGTTTATGGATTGATTCCTTTGCGAAAGATCTAATTGTTTGTTTGGGATTTTAATAGTCAATTTGTCTCGTGATATTTTTTTGATGGTCTGGTTTGTCAAAACTTCACCCTTGACCAATGTATATTTCTGTTTATTTTCCATTATCGTCTGCCACTTCACTGCTTGATGAGCTCTTAAATGCACTTGTATTGGAAAGGTCCCTTGGAGTTGGCATCAGCAGGTGTTTCAATATCAATTTTTAACATCATATCAAAGGTATTCAACATCCCTCTCCTTAGTGTTGCGACTTCGTTTGTAGCTGAAGATATCTCCAAAAATGCAAGCAAGGGATCAACTTCAGGTAAAATTAGAATAGGTGCAACAAGGACTTCAATCTCTTGAGCATGAAATACATTACACAAAAATAAGAATTTTTTTTTCTTCCATTTGTTCATTTTGAGAATTTGATGTAAAATGACGATTGTGACAGAAATTAACCACAGTAAACTCCTTGATGAAACAGATGAAAGAACGGCACTACCCTCAGTCTCTACTGCCTTACTTTTAGCGCTCGGAATTGGTTTATGTGAAGCTTTAGCTATGTATTTGGGATCTAGACTGTTTCTCAACATGATGGGCATATCAACAGTGAGTAGAACATGTTAGTTTATATGAGTAATGAACATATATCCATAACTAACTATTTATGTTAACTGATCACATTTTAGACTCAAACTTTGATACTATTACTGCACTCCTGGGAGAGATCTGTTTTTCCCGTTATGCTTGTTTCAGAAATCTCACCATTCAAATTTTCATATGCATCATTTTCTAGCTACAGGGAACCAAAATTTCCTAAAGTTGATTTTCTTAACAGGCTTCACCCATGCACATTCCAGCACAACAATTTCTTAAACTTAGAGCTATTGGTGCTCCTGCAGTTGTTCTTTCACTGGCCATTCAAGGCATCTTCCGTGGGTTTAAGGACACAAAGACCCCCGTCTTATGTCTAGGTAAGTATTTGGTATATTGCCTGAATCTGCGATGGAGAAAAGAAATAAAGATCATATAATTATGTATCATGTTTAAATAATCTAGACAAATATCTCTGAATGTTACACTCGTCCAAGATTTATAAAGATACCCCTATCATTTCAGTATTTTTGCTCCTTAGTTCTGTCATTATTTCAAATCACCATCAAGATCTGTTGGAAGTACATGTAGGATTGATAAAAGACAAAAACTGGTGAAGTTCTCATTGTATTGTCACCATCCAGGATAGTTAACTAGATTATACTTCAACACGGTAGGAAATTTCCTTACAGAACTCAATTGTTTTGAGTTTTCTCAGTAAGGGTAAAAGCATTTGATCTATGCCCAGAGCTTAGGGTATCTATTTCTGATTACCTATGAAGCACATGTACGGGTACGAATACTGGTACTGGTATGATACGGGTACGTCAATATGGTAAAATTCAAAAAAAATAAGGTACGGGTAGGCTTGACACGTTTGTAAAAAAATATTTATTTTTAATTTAAAATAATGCAAAAATTAATTAAATGGTTTAATTTGTTAAGGTCCAACCTATAATTAACATTTAATGCCAAAAGGAAAAGTATAAATCAAAATTAAATGTCAATATATTAAATAACTTACAAACCATAGTTTAATTTTAAAATCATGCTAAGCATAAAACAAAAACTAAAAAAGAAATCTAGTGAAATGAGTTTTATCTCTGTAGTAGAAGGAAAATATTGTTTCAATTGAGGTACGGTACGCACCATCAAGATCTGTTGGAAGTACATGTAGGATTGATAAAAGACAAAAACTGGTGAAGTTCTCATTGTATTGTCACCATCCAGGATAGTTAACAAGATTATAGTTCAACACTGTAGGAAATTTCCTTACAGAACTCAATTGTTTTGAGTTTTCTCAGTAAGGGTAAATGCATTTGATCTATGCCCAGAGCTTATCTAAAACAAGTTTGCTTTTCTAGCTAAAAACAAGGGTATCTATTTCTGATTAATTACCCTGTAAGTACTGGGGATTACTTTTTCCCTCTACAGTTATTCCTTCAATGACAGTTCAAGCTGCTGAACACTGTAGGATCTGATGTTGTCCCATACTCCATGCGGCAGAACAATCCTTTTGCATTTGTTTTAGTAAATGAAAAATTGGAGTGTTTACGATTTTTATTCTTGATAAGGTCATACACTTATATGACCTTCACTAGATGGTCTGTTATTGTAAATTTGGTATTCGGGGTACGTTTATATTAGTAAGTTTTGTTAAGCAAGTTCAATCAGCAAGTAATGCCCGTGCACCGTGGGCTACGTTTATTACCATTGTTATTTTATTTGGATTCCTTTCTTTGGTTGTGTGTGTGTTCTATTTGTCCACAATCAAGCATACCTCTAGCTAATCCTGTTTTTCTTTGATTTTAATGTTGCTTACTAATATAATTGTCAAATGTGCAGGACTTGGTAATTTGTTGGCTGTTTTTTTATTTCCATTACTTATGAATCATTTTCAGATGGGTGTAACTGGTGCAGCCATCTCCACTATTGTGTCTCAGTATGTCCTTTCATTGTCTAATTTCTTCTTCTTCTTCTTCTTCTTCTTCTTCTTCTTGTTTCATTGTTTGACTACGACTAATGTTGTTATTGTTATCTTATTATTTGTTTGTCCTATGTTTTGATATTTCTCAGATACCTTGTTACCTTTTTGATGATTTTGGATCTTAATAAGAAGACTGTACTTTCGGTACCCAAAATAAAGGATTTGGATTTTGGTGGCTACCTAAGGTCTGGTGAGTGCTTGTTACTTGAATAGCTCGTTTAGATTGCAGTCCAGTTTCACTTGCTAGAATCCTTCGACATTATCCAGTAGTTATTTCCTTTTGTTAGAATTTTGTAGCATATAGATCTTTCCCTGTAAAGTATGTAATGTTCCATGGAACAAATCCCAGTTTCCGAGTGCTCATTTTATCTCCCTGGAAATGGGTCTGACATTGGGGTGTACTGTTTTTTATTTGCCTTCTGAATTTTCAAAATGGTATTTTTCACATAGCAGTAGATGCTGTTTTGTTTTATGTTTAAATGGCATGTAATTTGTAATGAATTTTAAAGATGTGTGCAAGTGATTTTTTAGTAAGAGTCATTCATCAAGCATACATAAATACCAAACTGCTGGTTCTTGGATGATTTACTCTGCTAAACCCTAAAATTACATTTTCATGGTTCTTTGAAAAATGAGAAATGTACATTTTTCTTTCTGTAGAATAAAACTGCCAAGTGAGAACTTTTTATTTATTTATTTATTTATTTTTATCTCAATGGTTAGATTGTTTTGCTCCTAGTTACTGTGCTTGTGTCAATCCTCTACTGCAAAGTTTTCCTTTTAAGTGGTAAAATATATTAAAAGAAGAGCCTAAAAGGGTGCACCCTTTGTACACAGAGTTTACAAAGATCAAACTTTGCATGATCAACAAAATTCAACTGCCCTACAAGTCAAATAAATGATTACAAAAATATTCTAAGCCAAAATTGAGAAGAACGTAATGATCAACAAAATTCACCACATGAGACATAGGGTACCACCTTCCATGCCTCCATCCTTTTCAAATGAAACCCCTGCCAAATACTTATAAATTTGGAGAATGTAGCAGCTAGCAACCATCACCCAACTCACTCCAAAGATATAGAACACTATCAAATCTTTTGCCACCTCACTGATAACAGAGACAGACAGACACTCGGTCTCATACCTTTACTTTTTCAATTTTCTCTATGAAGTTTATTGTCAAATAGTCAATCGGCAAAAAATAAATGATAAATCTGTTTTGGAATACTGTTTATGAAAGTTGGTAGTGTATGTAGTCATAGCCTTCGTGAAGAGTCAAACTATTTCTCTCTGAAGAAAATTTTCCTTTTTCATTTTTTCAAATGCCTCTGATTTAGGTGGTTTTCTGCTTGGGAGAACTCTTGCTGCTGTTATGACTATAACTTTGAGCACATCAATGGCTGCTCGTCAAGGGCCATTAGCCATGGCGGCCCATCAGATATGTTTGCAAGTGTGGTTATCTGTATCTCTTCTTGCAGATGCCCAAGCTGCATCTGGTCAGGTAAACAGTTATAAATTTCACAACTTTTGTGCTCATTTACTTTTTGTCATTTTGAATGAACCTCCTCTACAACTACCTTTCCTTGTTATTTTATTTTTGGTGGTTCCTGAAGAGAACTTCATATTTTGCAGGCTCTTATTGCAAGTTATTTTTCGAAAGGAGACTACAGGACTGTTAGAGAGATTACTTTTTTTGCTTTGAAGGTGACTTATTTTACATCACTTCATTTTATCTGAATTACTGCTCACTTTAGGTTGAACTAATCTCTGTACTTTTTTTTTCTCTCTTTTGATTTTGTTTGTTTATTTATGTACTAAAATATTTATTTTTTATAACTTTCCATTCATGTTTCTCCAGACAGGATTGTTTAGTGGCATTTTAGTAGCTGTCATATTGGGTGTGTCTTTTAGTTCTTTAGCCACGCTATTCACCAATGACAAAGAAGTACTAGGTATTATTAGATCTGTGTTAGTGGTACGTACATATCCAGATTCCATATATACTTTTGTTTACAATTCCTTCTTTGAATCTCTCTGATGGGCTTCTATATAAATATTGTACAGTTTGTTAGCGCCAGTCTGCCTGTCAATTATCTTGCTTACATTTTTGATGGTCTCCACTATGGTGTTTCAGACTTCTTGTTTGCCGCTTACTCCATGGTAAGTGGCCTCCTAATGACGTTTCCCATATGGATAAGAGGTTAGTAATAGTAGATTAGCATTTTCTAATGTTGATTACAACTTGCATGACCTTTAGATGGTGGTTGGGGCAATTTCATCAGCATTTCTGCTCTATGTTCCTTCTATTGTTGGTCTTTCGGGAGTTTGGTGTGGTTTGACTCTTTTCATGGGCTTGCGTACTGTGGCTGGATATATGAGGTAACTACATGGAATGGCATCGAGTTTCTTTTCTTTTAACATTTTGATGGTAACATATAGGGGCTAACTATTCTGTGTTTCTTCAGTGTTAAAGGCATGCTTATTTAATAATTTTGATAATAATTTCCGCTTGAAAATTTTAATTCTGGCTTCAGATATGGTTGGAACTTAAAGTTGGTTGTCCTTCCATGTATGCAACAAAGGGCATCATAGTATAAGACCCCACAGCTTTAATATGTAATTCAATTCTCTTATAGTTTAATTTTCAAAACTATGTCCAGTTTATGGCAACTAGGGACAGTGCTAGGGTTACACCCAATTGGAAGTGAAAACTTCTGTTTAGAAATCATGATGGCCACCATGACATACGTTTTGGTTTGGGTTGATATATCGACATGTGATTAGAAAACTTGGAAATAGTTGACTCCAGTTAGTTTCTGACTTCACAAAATGGAAACAGTACAAACTTAGAAAACTGTCAAACCCCCAGCTAGCTTAGAAATCCCATTGTTCAAGATGTCCAAGACTTGTTTTAGAAAGACATGCCAAAGGAACTCACTTAGAAATTCCTTTGTCCTCGATCAAACATTGAAAGAAGTTCAAGGACTTATTTGAAAAGACATGCCAAACGCTTTCCCTAAGGGTCACTCAAAAGGCTATGTTTGGATCTTGGATTTGGATAGAGAAAATAAATGTGGAGGGAAATGTGAATGAATATAAGCTTCTTCTTTTTTTTTTTCTTTCCAAATTTTCCCTTCCCTTTTCCTTTCCCCCACAAATGCTTACCCAAATTCATGATCCAATTGCAGTCTAACTGCTTGAAATAACTGGAAACAGCTCCAGAAGTTCAAAGAGCTTCAGGTTGCAAAATTCACATACTCGTGTATTGTAGTGTCCATAATTAAGTCCTATGTGCTATACGACGAGGAGTTGCCATATCTGATTTCAAAGGGAAATCAAGATAGAAATTCATTTAAAAAGAAGATAACTATCCAAACTATTTCTCTAATTAAACAACCTTTCAAATCGTTGCTTTGGTGTGTACATATTGTGCCATATTCATTTCCTATGTTCATATCTGTGCTTCTTAGATTCTATATTCTGAATGTTTTTCATTTTCTTTACCAAGTTACCTTGCATGTTGGAACATTACTTGCACATAGGAATATAACTTTCAATCTTGACTCGATGTCTTTTTCTTGGTAGAGTCATAGCATGCTGTTGTTGGCTATGTTCTCATATGTACTTTTCACCTACACCTTCATTTTGATTGTTTTCAGATTATCATCGAAAAATGGTCCATGGTGGTTTTTACAGGAAGCCATCCAAAAACCTCGGGTATGAATTTCTCTGATTTTCTGTTAGGTAGTTGAAGTATATTATATATTCTATTAAGATTTAAATACATCAGCCCTATCCATTTATACATTTTAACATCAAATATTGGTCTTCAAACAGGATAGATAATACCCAATAGTTCACATATTTACTTTTCTAAAAGAAAGAAGAAAAAAAAAAGAAGAAACAATTTCATGAAAAGTGACAAGGATGGAATTTGGAGTAGAGAGATGTGGATTTTGGTTTATGGAAGCTCCGTATATAACTCTTACTAAAATGAAATGTAAAACTTTAAAACCTTTTTTCTCCCAAAAAGAAGAGACAATTAAGATTGGTAAATAAGTGACAAAATTGGATGGAACGAGAGTCAAACCAATCTCTTTCATCCAATTATCGAGTCATAAATTCAAGTAATGAAGTCGATTCTTACAGTATTGGCAACTATGAGTCTTTTTGCTTATATGCTCATAAAAAAATGGTCATCATGCAAATGATGTTATGCTCTTCAACTTATTTTCTTACATAATACACATTGTTACTTTGTGGTGGATTTTGTAACTCTTTGTTAATGCTAATTTCATGCAATAAATTTTTCTTGGTTACTAAAGTTTTTTACTCATCTCTTCTATTGACAGGTTGCCATTTAACATGTCACTTCAGCTATGAGGATTTTGTTGGGATTATAAATCTCTCTCTCTCTCTCTCTCTCTCTCTCTCTATGGTGTACAGTCGTCAATGTTGAGTTGCCTCAATTAAATCTATAATCTCAAATTTATTTGTTTTTCAAATGTATACCGTTGGATCTTATCAGTTGATGTATCATTTGTCATACGCATCTGTACCATTAATTTTTGTGAATGTTTTCAACCGATGATGATGTTGTTGGAACAATTTTCTGTATAAATAAAATAAATTGAAACTAAATCAAACAAAATAAATAAATAATGTACCGAATTTATTTATCAAACCGAATTAAAAATAAAAGACCAAGTCGAGTGTGTGATACTCTGTCCTTAAGACAGATTTGTTCCGCTACGGTGCTTACGGTTGAGTGGCGTCTATCTCCCAGGATACAATAATCTTCACAAAATTGTTGTAGCACACCAAACAAATTTGTACGGCGAACTAAATCTGTGTTTTATACTCTTTATTTTTTCCTAAAAATATATATGAAGAATATATGCCCTAGAGCAAAGTGGACAGAAAATGAGACAATTTCCATATTGATTTTTGGATCCTCAAAACTGTTGGATAGTGCTGGATTAAATAGAGCCGAACAAGTGCAGAAATTTGAACTGAACAAATATGGTTTCAAAATGAACAGGTGCATACTAGAACGGAACAGATAACTGCTGGAAATGTAGATCTGTTTGAACTGTTTGAATCTGTCAAAAAGTGCAGTTACGAACTATAACTGCTGGGCAGTTATGGGCAGTTATGAGCAGTTAATCTGTTACATAATTCGGACTGAAGGAGGCTCAAGTGTTGGACAAAAATTAGAATTCAAATTTGAATTAAATTTTCGCAATAATTTTTGAAAAAATTCAAATGAATTTTGCCCAAAAAATTAATATTAGAACCGACCCACAACCCACACCCGTGTCCGGACGGCGGCGCACGTGTGGTGGTTTGGGCTAAGGTTTACTTTGTCTATAACTCTTTCCTTCTACAAACTTGGGGTGCCCCTTGGGGCCCAACTCAAGTGTTGTAGTCTAGAGCTTATATACACAAAAAAACTCTCTTAACGTTTTAATGTGGGACAACCCATTTCAAGGAAACCCACATTTCATTCTTTAAATGTCTATTCCACGAACCCGAAAATGACGTCATGTTCCCATTCACTCATAAATGGTTTTAACGAACCGTCTTCATCGTGTGACTTGCCACGCGGCAAGGAACACTTCATCTCTTCGGACCCACCCCAAAAGACGTTCGAGGCTCACTCAATTTTGGGCTCAAAGATGGCCCAAAATAAGCCTTTATAAACCTATTTTTCCAACAATCCCCCACATGAATGGAATATGACGGAGAGAAAATCTAACAACATGATCTAATTACAAAGAGTACAAAAATTGGAAATATTCTGCAAATGATAGGCAGCTTTTGACTTTGAACCTTCCCTTGTGAGATACTATCGGATTTACTAGCTAACTAGTGAACATGATGTCTTGAACTGTTCAGCCGTTTGTGTAAACCAAGACAATAGAACTCGCATAATATATCCCCAAGCACAGTTTAGTTCTCACTATTGTGTTCATTTTGGCCCTGAACAACTTGGTCTTTCATGAGTGCTCTAAAGAATTGTAGCCCTTCACAAATCTTATAGAACTGGCCCAGTTCACACTCATATAGGTGATTTTTATGAAGAGTATCCTGCCATACTCGACTAGGTATACCTAGATATAAGAATCATTAAAAGTATTACTTAACCTAAAACTCTGCAGTCATCACTATTTCATTATAGAAATAGGTAGGAGTTTAACTCCCCAGTGATCTTTCTGAGTCATACACAACTTGGTTGTCCCTTTGAACCTAGATCTTGGGATCTCCAATCAACTAGGTTGGGTTGCCGTTGTGGTAACTCTTATTTAATAGGCTTAAGTCTCATTCCCCTCGATGAATTCTCAACTAACTCTCTTGCTAACCCTTTGGTTAGTGGATTCGCTATGTTGTCTTTGGACTTCACATATTCAATGGAAATAATTCCATTAGAGAGTAGTTGTCTTACGGTATTATGTCGACAACGAATGTGTCTAGACTTACCGTTATACATATGACTCTATGCTCTACCTATTGCTGATTGATTATCGCAATGTATGCATATAGCAGGCACTGATTTTGGCCATATTGGAATATCTTCAAGGAAGTGGCGAAACCATTCTGCTTCTTCTCCAGTTTTTTCTAAAGCTATGAATTCTGATTCCATAGTAGACCTAACAATACAAATCTGTTTGGAAGATTTCCAAGATACAGCCGCTCCACCAAGAGTAAAGACATACCCACTGGTGGACTTTGAGTCTCTAGTGTCCGATATCCAATTTGCATCACAGTATCCTTCAAGCACTGCTGGATATCTAATATGATTAAACCCAATGTTACGAGTAAATCGGAGATATCTTAGAACCCTTATAATTGCTTTCTAGTGTTCTACTCCCGGGTTACTCGTATCTCTACTTAATTTACTTACTGCATAAGCTATATCCGGGCGAGTGCAGTTCATTAAGTACATTAAGCTTTCAATAATTTGGGCATAATCTAATTGAGAAATACTTTCCTATACATTCTTAGAAAGATACAAATTAATATCTACAGGTGTTGCTGAATTTGTCAAGTATTTTCTCAATGTAATGAGATTGTGACAAAGTATAACCTTCTGATGTTTTGATAATTTTCATACCAAGAATTACATCTGCAATGCCCATGTCTTTCATGTCAAAATGCTTATTCAACATTTTCTTGTAGTTTTAATCATATCATTATTACTACCTGTACGGGGAAGAAATAATTCTCCTCGTATAATCCTGTTGACCAAGTCCACGCTCCTCCGTACGACGTCGCTTTGTCACCTGAAAACACAAACGTGAGCTAGCCGGCGGGTGTGTGCCGGAAACCTCTCCGATGCCTAAGTCAGAAAACTTGACAAATAGACAAAGCTCTAAGTTCTCAGAAAAATTGTGTTCAATTACCTCCTCCAAGGTGATGTTTGTGAGCTTTTATAAGTTTCCAATGGCACAATCCTAGTAGGACTTTTATTCCTCCATGCAGAGTCCTCCTAGGATTCATACTCCTAAGGATAATGCTTATCCTTTTACACCCTCCCCTACTGCTTAAACCAAGTGGGATGGTTTTTACTTTGGCCGAACTACTATATGACCGAAATAAGCTTGGCTATGCAGAGCCACTGAGTAAACCGAACTCATCCTTAGTTCGGTTCTTGTGTTTTCCCTTTCTTATCTCAGCTTTCCATGTAGAACCCACGGTACGGTCTTAGACCGAACCAACGACTTTTGGCCGGTCTAACCCCATACCGGTATAACTCCAAGTTGCCTTCGGACCGAAGTATCTTTTACAGTCACTGTGCCGAAGTAACTTTGTCTCTCTTAGGCCGAAGTAGCCTTGCCTCTTCTTGGCCGGAGTAACATTGCGGCCTTCCCTGGGCCGGAGTAACATTGCGGCCTTCCCTGGGCCAGAGTAACATTGCGGCCTTTTTACCAAGTCTTTGGCACTTTGGGCCACAAAGCCCATCTCATAGCTCGGCCCAATTTTTACCAAAAATTACCCTCTCAATTGCCCCTTAATTCCATCTGCACAGCATGGTAGGGATTACCAGTCCAACCGAGCTGAAGTTATTAAGCCTTTCCAGCCGAGCTAAAAACCTTTAGCCTCTCCAGCCGAGCTAATTTTACTTCGGGCTACACTTTGTCCGGTCAAAACGTCTCTTCAATCACGACTGTAACGATTTCCTTTCCGTATACACGTGGCACGCCCCCATTCGTAGAAGGCAACTGTCAACGTCGTCTTCGTGTTTCACAATTTTTGAACAGTTCCCGCTTCTTCCCCTTTTCTTTTCCCTCTCTCTCATTTCACCAAACACTCTTTTCATTCTTGAACCACTCACCTTCTTCTCTCCCTTGTTCCTGAGCTCCTAAGTTTTGAGCTTGCTGTGTTCGTGTCTCCATTGCTGCCATTGCCTCCATTTCCTAGCTTCTTTCTTATTCGGGTAAGCAAGCCTATCCTTCTTGCTCTTTGTCCGCTTTACCATCTGTATAGTTTTGTTTTGTATGTTTTTTGCAAACACTTTTTTCCATTTGTTGCTTTTGCTTCTGTACTTTCACGAAAAAATAATAGCAGAGCTCATGTGTGTATGAACTTCTATAAAAAACTAGTCTTAGATCCAAAATCTCGCCCCAACCGAACTAGGATACTGTTTTTGTGCTAGTGGTAGATCACCTTAGACAATTAACCAAACTAGAACTTTGCAAGATGACAGCAGCTTTGAAAAATAAATTTCCGATTCAACTTAGCCGAAATAAGATCACCGAACGAAATATGAACTCAATAAACTAGGAACCTCAGTCATTGACCGAGCTAAGCCTTTGGGGCTAAGCCAGCTTTCTCGATCTCTATATCAAATTCCGAAAGCTGCCCCTAGAGGCTCAACCGAAGTAACAAAACACATAGTTCAACCGATTTAGGTCCTGGGGCTAAGCCAACTCTCTTAGTTTTTAGACCGAACTAAGAAAGCCGCCCCTAGATGGCGAACCAGTCTAATAAGCAACCTGCTCAAACCGAGTTTACCAAACCTTTTGCAAAACCGAGATATCACCTGCCCTTAAAGCCGAAATAGGGCGTTTTTATCTTGTTTTTAACTTTGTAGCACGGTCCTATGATCTGTGCTTAACCCCTTTGTTTTCTACTTTGCAGACTTAGGTTGCCCAGGCATTCCTTCTTGTGCTCAACCGAGCTACTTGAGTCCAATCTTCCGACCGAACTAACTTATTAATAATTTATACCACAAATGGGTAAGTATAGGTATTTGGTAGAGACCCCTGGTGGCATGGCCGAATTCCGAAGGGATTATGGCATTCCAGACGATGTACACCTTACTCTAGCCAAGAAGGAAACCATTCCGTGGAATAACCATGGCTACGTCCCCTTTACTGTTTTATCCATTATAGAAACCGGACTAAGGTTCCCGGTCCAGCCTTTAATTTGTGAATTTCTTAGGAAAACCAGACTATGCCCAACCCAGCTATCTACCAATACATACCGGATAATAATGGGTATCGCCGAGCTAAACCGCCAAACAGGCCTGAACCTCGGTTTAGCCGAAATCTTCCACCAGTACTCCATAGGTTCCAAAGATGATGGCTGGGTTTATTACCTTAGGATACGCCGACGTAGAGAAAAGATAATAAAAGATACACCGGATAAGGATGTTAATGATGATGACTTCTTCTGGGTATCGGGCAATTTTGAGGATCACCAAGCCCAAATCCCAGGCCGAAGTATTAACTGGAAGAAAGGAGAACCTGGTAAAGTTACTTCGGTTTGATGCATGTTTTTCTTTTACTTCGGTTTCAGGAGTCATGACCGATCTAACAGTTGCATATTTTTTGCAGACTCAGCTCATCTTGCATCCCATTATAGCTACCCAAATCTGAACATACTTCGAGCCGCACTACGGATTAAGGAAAGAAGTTGGTCTAAGCTTCTAAGCTTTGAGCCGACCTACAGATATAGCGGTCGTCGAAAAGCCCGAGTGACCGATTTCCTTCTTGAAGAAGCACCTGAACCGGACCCAACCTTGCCCGAAATACGACTTGTCCCATTAACCGCTGAAGAAGAGATGGCAAAGAAAAGCAGAGTTAGGGCCCTTCTAACCGCCACGCTTACATTTTTGATGGTCTCCACTATGGTGTTTCAGACTTCTTGTTTGCCGCTTACTCCATGGTAAGTGGCCTCCTAATGACGTTTCCCATATGGATAAGAGGTTAGTAATAGTAGATTAGCATTTTCTAATGTTGATTACAACTTGCATGATCTTTAGATGGTGGTTGGGGCAATTTCATCAGCATTTCTTCTCTATGTTCCTTCTATTGTTGGTCTTTCGGGAGTTTGGTGTGGTTTGACTCTTTTCATGGGCTTGCGTACTGTGGCTGGATATATGAGGTAACTACATGGAATGGCATCGAGTTTCTTTTCTTTTAACATTTTGATGGTAACATATAGGGGCTAACTATTCTGTGTTTCTTCAGTGTTAAAGGCATGCTTATTTAATAATTTTGATAATAATTTCCGCTTGAAAATTTTAATTCTGGCTTCAGATATGGTTGGAACTTAAAGTTGGTTGTCCTTCCATGTATGCAACAAAGGGCATCATAGTATAAGACCCCACAGCTTTAATATGTAATTCAATTCTCTTATAGTTTAATTTTCAAAACTATGTCCAGTTTATGGCAACTAGGGACAGTGCTAGGGTTACACCCAATTGGAAGTGAAAACTTCTGTTTAGAAATCATGATGGCCACCATGACATACGTTTTGGTTTGGGTTGATATATCGACATGTGATTAGAAAACTTGGAAATAGTTGACTCCAGTTAGTTTCTGACTTCACAAAATGGAAACAGTACAAACTTAGAAAACTGTCAAACCCCCAGCTAGCTTAGAAATCCCATTGTTCAAGATGTCCAAGACTTGTTTTAGAAAGACATGCCAAAGGAACTCACTTAGAAATTCCTTTGTCCTCGATCAAACATTGAAAGAAGTTCAAGGACTTATTTGAAAAGACATGCCAAACGCTTTCCCTAAGGGTCACTCAAAAGGCTATGTTTGGATCTTGGATTTGGATAGAGAAAATAAATGTGGAGGGAAATGTGAATGAATATAAGCTTCTTCTTTTTTTTTTTCTTTCCAAATTTTCCCTTCCCTTTTCCTTTCCCCCACAAATGCTTACCCAAATTCATGATCCAATTGCAGTCTAACTGCTTGAAATAACTGGAAACAGCTCCAGAAGTTCAAAGAGCTTCAGGTTGCAAAATTCACATACTCGTGTATTGTAGTGTCCATAATTAAGTCCTATGTGCTATACGACGAGGAGTTGCCATATCTGATTTCAAAGGGAAATCAAGATAGAAATTCATTTAAAAAGAAGATAACTATCCAAACTATTTCTCTAATTAAACAACCTTTCAAATCGTTGCTTTGGTGTGTACATATTGTGCCATATTCATTTCCTATGTTCATATCTGTGCTTCTTAGATTCTATATTCTGAATGTTTTTCATTTTCTTTACCAAGTTACCTTGCATGTTGGAACATTACTTGCACATAGGAATATAACTTTCAATCTTGACTCGATGTCTTTTTCTTGGTAGAGTCATAGCATGCTGTTGTTGGCTATGTTCTCATATGTACTTTTCACCTACACCTTCATTTTGATTGTTTTCAGATTATCATCGAAAAATGGTCCATGGTGGTTTTTACAGGAAGCCATCCAAAAACCTCGGGTATGAATTTCTCTGATTTTCTGTTAGGTAGTTGAAGTATATTATATATTCTATTAAGATTTAAATACATCAGCCCTATCCATTTATACATTTTAACATCAAATATTGGTCTTCAAACAGGATAGATAATACCCAATAGTTCACATATTTACTTTTCTAAAAGAAAGAAGAAAAAAAAAAGAAGAAACAATTTCATGAAAAGTGACAAGGATGGAATTTGGAGTAGAGAGATGTGGATTTTGGTTTATGGAAGCTCCGTATATAACTCTTACTAAAATGAAATGTAAAACTTTAAAACCTTTTTTCTCCCAAAAAGAAGAGACAATTAAGATTGGTAAATAAGTGACAAAATTGGATGGAACGAGAGTCAAACCAATCTCTTTCATCCAATTATCGAGTCATAAATTCAAGTAATGAAGTCGATTCTTACAGTATTGGCAACTATGAGTCTTTTTGCTTATATGCTCATAAAAAAATGGTCATCATGCAAATGATGTTATGCTCTTCAACTTATTTTCTTACATAATACACATTGTTACTTTGTGGTGGATTTTGTAACTCTTTGTTAATGCTAATTTCATGCAATAAATTTTTCTTGGTTACTAAAGTTTTTTACTCATCTCTTCTATTGACAGGTTGCCATTTAACATGTCACTTCAGCTATGAGGATTTTGTTGGGATTATAAATCTCTCTCTCTCTCTCTCTCTCTCTCTCTCTATGGTGTACAGTCGTCAATGTTGAGTTGCCTCAATTAAATCTATAATCTCAAATTTATTTGTTTTTCAAATGTATACCGTTGGATCTTATCAGTTGATGTATCATTTGTCATACGCATCTGTACCATTAATTTTTGTGAATGTTTTCAACCGATGATGATGTTGCTGGAACAATTTTCTGTGTAAATAAAATAAATTGAAACTAAATCAAACAAAATAAATAAATAACGTACCGAATTTATTTATCGAACCGAATTAAAAATAAAAGACCAAGTCGAGTGTGTGACACTCTGTTCTTAAGACAGACTTGTTCTGTTACGGTGCTTACGGTTGAGTGGCGTCTATCTCTCAGGATACAATAATCTTCACAAAATTGTTGTAGCACACCAAACAAATTTGTACGACGAACCAAATCCGTGTTCTATACTCTCTTTATTTTTTCCTAAAAATATATATGAAGAATATATGCCCTAGAGCAAAGTGGACAGCAAATGAGACAATTTTCAGACTGATTTTTGGATCCTCAAAACTGTTGGACAGTGCTGGATTACATAGAGCCGAACAGGTGCAGAAATTTGAACTGAACAAATATGGTTTCAAAATGAACAGGTGCATACTAGAACGGAACAAATAACTGTTGGAAATGTAGATCTTTTTGAACTGTTTGAATCTGTCAAAAAGTGCAGTTACGAACTATAACTGCTGGGCAGTTATGGGTAGTTATGAGTAGTTAATCTGTTACATAATTCGGACTGAAGGAGGCTCAAGTGTTGGACAAAAATTAGAATTTAAATTTGAATTAAATTCTCGTAATAATTTTTGAAAAAATTCAAATGAATTTTGCCCAAAACATTAATATTAGAACCGACCCACAACCGTGTCCGGACGGCGGCGCACGTGTGGTGGTTTGAGTTAAGGTTTACTTTGTCTATAACTCTTTCTTTCTACAAACTTGGGGTGCCCCTTGAGGCCCAATCCAAGTGTTGTAGTCTAGAGCTTATATATACAAAAAAACTCTCTTAAAGTTTTAATGTGGGACAACCCATTTCAAGGAAACCCACATTTCATTCTTTAAATGTCCATTCCACGAATTCGAAAATGACGTCATGTTCCCATTCACTCATAAATGGTTTTAACGAACCGTCTTCACCGTGTGACTTGCCACGCGGCAAGGAACACTTCATCTCTTCGGACCCACCCCAAAAGACGTTCGAGGCCCACTCAATTTTGGGCTCAAAGATGGCCCAAAATAAGCCTTTATAAACCTATTTTTCCAACAATCCCCCACATGAATAGAATATGACGGAGAGAAAATCCAACAACATGATCTAATTACAAAGAGTACAAAAATTGGAAATATTCTGCAAAGGATAGGTAGCTTTTGACTTTGAACCTTCCCTTGTGAGACACTATCGGATTTACTAGCTAACCAGTGAATATGATGTCTTGAACTGTTCTGCCGTTTGTGTAAACCAAGACAATAGAACTCGCATAATATATCCTCAGGCACAGTTTAGTTCTCACTATTGTGTTCATTTTGGCCTTGAACAACCTGGTCTTTCATGAGTGCTCTAGAGAATTGTAGCCCTTCACAAATCTTATAGAACTGACCCAGTTCACACGCATATAGGTGATTCTTATGAAGAGTATCCTGCCATACTCGACTAGGTATACCTAGATATAAGAATCATTAAAAGTATTACTTAACCTAAAACTCTGCAGTCATCACTATTTCATTATAGAAATGGGTAGGAGTTTAACTCCCCAGTGATCTTTCTGAGTCATACACAACTCGGTTGTCCCTTTGAACCTAGATCTTGGGATCTCCAATCAACTAGGTTGGGTTGCCGATGTGGTAACTCTTATTTAATAGGCTTAAGTCTCATTCCCCTCGATGAATTCTCAACTAACTCTCTTGCTAACCCTTTGGCTAGTGGATCCGCTATGTTGTCTTTAGACTTCACATATTCAATGGAAATAATTCCATTAGAGAGTAGTTGTCTTACGGCATTATGTCGACAACGAATGTGTCTAGACTTACCGTTATACATATGACTCTGTGCTCTACCTATTGCTGATTGATTATCGCAATGTATGCATATAGCAGGCACTGATTTTGGCCATATTGGAATATCTTCAAGGAAGTGGCGAAACCATTCTGTTTTTTCTCCAGCTTTTTCTAAAGCTATGAATTCTGATTCTATAGTAGACCTAGCAATACAAATCTGTTTGGAAGATTTTCAAGCTACAGCCGCTCCACCAAGAGTAAAGACATACCCACTGGTGGACTTTGAGTCTCTAGTATCCGATATCCAATTTGCATCACAGTATCCTTCAAGTACTGCTAGATATCTAGTATAATTAAACCCAATGTTACGAGTAAATCGGAGATATCTTAGAACCCTTATAATTGCTTTCTAGTGTTCTACTCCCGGGTTACTCGTATATCTACTTAATTTACTTATTGCATAAGCTATATCCGGGCGAGTGCAGTTCACTAAGTACATTAAACTTCCAATAATTTGGGCATAATCTAATTGAGAAATACTTTCCTATACATTCTTAGAAAGATACAAATTAACATCTACAGGTGTTCTAGCAAAATGATCATCATCTTTGCTGAATTTGTCAAGTATTTTCTCAATGTAATAAGATTGTGACAAAACATAACCTTCTAATGTTTTGATAATTTTCATACCAAGAATTACATCTGCAATGCCCATGTCTTTCATGTCAAAATGCTTATTCAACATTTTCTTGTAGTTTTAATCATATCATTATTACTACCTATGATGAGTATATCATCTACATAAAGACATACAATGACATAACCTATCTCTGTGTTTTTAATATAAACACATTTACCACACTTATTAATTTTGAATCCATTTGACATCATTGCCTTGTCAAATTTCTCATGCCATTGCTTTGGCGCTTGTTTTAAACCATATAATGATTTAACCAATTTACACACATTTTTTTCTTTTCTTGGAACAGAAAAACTTTCTGGTTGTTCTATGTAAATTTCTTCATTTAACTCACCATTTAAGAAAGCGGTTTTTACATCCATTTGATGAATTTCTAAATTCTATAAAGATGCAATAGCAATTGACATTCTAATGTATATTATTCTAGTAACTGGTGAGTATGTGTCAAAGTAATCAAGACTTTCTTTTTGTCTAAAACCTTTGACCACAAGTCTTGCCTTGTATTTGTCAATTGATCTATCCGTTTTCAATTTTCTTTTGAAAATCCACTTGTACCCAAGAGGTTTACAACCTGGTGGCAAATCCACCAATATTCAAGTGTGATTTTGCAAGATGGATTCAACTTCACTATTGACAGCTTCTTTCCATAAAGGAGCCTCAGGACTGGGCATAGCCTCTTTAAAAGTTAAAAGTTCATTTTCTAACAAATATGTTAGAAAATATGGACCAAAAGATTTTGAGATTCTAGCACGTTTACTATGCCTAAGCTCCTCTTTCTCATTTTGATCTAACTCTTGTTCTTGATCATGTTCTTAATCCTGACTAGTAATAGCATCATGAGTTGTTTTATTGTTACTAGTCTTTTGTCCAGCCTTATTTTGAAATACATGTTCAAAGAAAGATGCATTCCGAGATTCAATAATAGTATTTACATGCATATCGGAACGTTCTGATTTATGAATCAAAAATCGATATGCACTACTATTCTTGGCATAACCAATGTAAATGCAATCAATGGTCTTAGGACCTATCTTAGTCTTTTTAGGACTAGGAATAGCCACTTTAGCCAAACACCCCCACACTTTTAAGTATTTGTAGGATGGTACTCTTCCATGCCACAATTCATAAGGTGTTTGATTCATTTTCTTTTGGGGTACTTTATTTAAAATATAATTTGTAGAAAGTATTGCTTCCCCCCCAAATTCTGGGGTAATTCAGAACTTATTAACATATCATTCATCATTTCTTTTAAAGTCTTATTTTTTCTTTCAGCAATTTCATTTTGCTGAGGTGAGTAAGGAGCGGTGGTTTGATGAATTATTCAATGTTCTTTACAAAATTCACCAAAAGGTGATTCATATTCACCACCTTTATCACTTCTAAGTTTCTTGATTTTCTTACCAAGTTGATTTTCAACTTCATTCTTATATTGAATGAAAGTTTTTAAAGCTTCATCCTTGGTTCGAATTAAATAAACATAACTATATCTAGTATAGTCATCTATAAAAGTGATAAAATATTTTTTCCCACCTCTTGTTTGAATTGATTTAAAATCATATATGTCACTATGAATTAATTCAAGTGGTTTCGTACTTCTTTCAACTGAATGAAAATGAGTTTTGGATAATTTTGCCTCAACGCAAATTTCACATTTATGATTTGAATCAATGTCAAATTTAGGTAAACATTCCATATTAATTAATTTACGCAAAGATCCATAATTAACATGTCCTACTCTATCACGCCATAAATTTGAAGACTCAAGCAAGTAAGAAGAAGATGTATTATTATTAATAGCTGAGGGTACAACGGTCATTACATTTAACTTGAAAAGGCTATCAAACATGTAACATTTTCCTACATACATCCCAGTCTTAGTAAGTACAAATTTATCACTTTCAATTACTAGCCTAAACCCATTCTTACTTAACAGAGATCCGGAAACAAGATTCTTGAGAATGTCCGGTACAGGCAGCACATTGTTGAGAGTGAGTTCCTTTCCAGATGTCATCTTAAGTATAATCTTTCCTGTCCTTCAACTTTGAAAGTTGAGGAGTTGCCCATAAAGAGTTGTTCACCGTTGTCTACTGCAGAATAAGATGTGAACATCTTTTTGTCGGCACAGATATGACGAGTAGCACCAGTGTCCACCCACCATTCTTTTGGATTTCCGGCAAGATTTGCCTCGGAAACAACTGCAGAAAGATTGATGCCATCTACACCATTAGAAATATTGTCCACTTCGGTCATATGGGCTTGAGCAGGCTTCTTACTTGTTCTTTTTTTGTTTTTGCCTTTGCTACGGCAATCTTTGGCCCGATGTCCTTCTTTGTCACAGATGTAACATTTTTCCATTAAACTTGTACTTTTTATTTTTCCCCCCTTTAGAGCCTTGTGATGAACTTTCTCCAGAAGACTTTCGTTTCTTGATTTTTGAAACATGTTT